TATATATATATAATTTTATTTCACATTATCGTTTCTTCAAAAGATGCGTTAAAACATGTTCTGGCTTTACCCAGGCAGCTTGATCCGTTATATGCATAACGAGTATGTGAACACTCCTCAGATGTTTCTAGTGAAGGGTCCGGGTAATGCTACAGAATACAAAGATATTTTAGACAATTGTGCACTTCCAGCCTTGTGGTAACAGTTTGGTGAAGACCCCTTTCTGTGTCAGGATGACTGTCCCTTGTGTACAAAGCAAGCTCCATACAGACATGGTGGGATCAGTTTGGTCTGTGACTTGCACTGAGCCCTGACCTCAACCCTACTGAACACCTTTTGGGATGAATTGGAACACCGATGGTGAGCTGGGTCTTCTCCTTCAACATCAGTACCTGACCTCACAAACGCAAAACAGAATAAATGTTCACCAGCACTCCAAGCTTTCTTCAAAACAAAATCCTTTTATTCATTGGAGGTCGTATCATCACACGTGGTGATATGACCTGCTAGAATGAATTAAAGGATTTTGTTTTGAAGAAAGCTTGGAGTGCTGGTGAACATTTATTCTGTTTTGTAAGTATTTGGCGGGGCCATCCGCGGCCACTTCAGTACCCCCCCACATTATATGGGGCTTCTTGGTCAGGAGTGCGGTGGGACTCTTATTTGATCTCACAAATGGGCACACATTCCCACAGACGCCCTCCAAAATCTTGTTGAAAGATTTCACTGAAATGGGAGGTCCAACAAGCTTTTATAGGAGTGATGGTCAGGTGTCCACAAACCTTTGGTCATATAGTGTGCGTCTTTGCCACTTACAGCTTAGCCTCCACCTTGTTGTTAGAGCCGTGCTAAGAACTGTTTACATTGTCTGACCTCTGAGGTTTCCAGGGTGCTGTAGATCAAGGCACACGTCTTGTCTACTTTCCACCCCACAGCTTCTTGGTATTCACTGTTCCTGAGTAGAGTAGAATAGTAGACACTAACAGATTCTAATGGACTCTGACAGACTCTAGGAGACTTTAACTGATTCCTTCATCCATGCTAAACAGGGTCGATAGATGGATCTCCTGCTGCAGCTATTGCGTTCTGACCGCCGGCGCCTGCTGCTGTGGGACAACCTGAGCCACCTAACTGTTCGGCCAAGAATGTTTTTCATTCATGTATGGTAAGCTTTTGTAGTATAATTAACTGATCGTTACGTATTCTTCACAGAGGTTCGAAGGTTCCTGAGCCCCCACCCGGCCACAAGTGGAAGGAAGTGCGCTTTGATAACACAGTCACCTGGCTGGCTTCCTGGACAGAAAACATCCAGGGATCGATCAAGTACATCATGCTGAACCCAAGCTCAAAACTCAAGGTGGGCATAAAGCAGCCAGCAATGTACCGGTGTAGATTGCCAAGGACGTTGCTATTACAGATGAAGTTTAATCCGCCTCTATTTTGCTTTCCCTGGTTCTTCTTTCTGCCCTCATCATGTTGTTGAAATTCTTAAAGGATATCTATGGGGTCAGGGCTTTTCCCCATAGTTCTCAGGGTAACGGGAGGACACAAACTAGCGTCCTCCCGTCACCCTAGGCTCAGTATATAGGGAGCTGTAGCTCGCGGTATACTGAGACGCCGCAGCTGAAGCGGATCCTGACAATTATGTCTGTATCCGCCCAGCTGCGTGACTGACAGCTGGCTCTGCCTATCTAGAGGCAGAGCCAGCTGTACCCGCCACCGTCCGTTGGAGGATCGGGGGAGGGGGAATCCAGCCCCCCCGTGTCATGGAAGAGAGCCGTGATCCCCCCCCCCCCCCCTCATAGTTCTCCTTTAAATATATTTCCATTTTTATTACCTGTAATGTCATCACTGGCTCTCTATGCAATGCAGGCCGATCATGTCTGGTAGGAGAGGCTGCCTCAGTCTTCCTCAAGAGTCCTCGGCCCTGATGCAAGCACTGGGCGGGCTCTTGGGAGGAGTTATGCAAATGCCTTGATGGGTGGATGTCAGTCTGGGGGAGTGGGCGTTCCTAGGTAGGCTGTATTTGCATGCAGACCGCCCTAGGTAACGTCATTATGTGATGCTGCGCCTCCATGATTGAAGAAGTGAGGCACTGGCTGTTCACTGAGTGATCTGTTAAGGCCATTTTAACACATGGTAACCTTTCCATTGAGCTGGGCTGTAAGGGTATTTTTAAAGGTTATTTTCCTTTTCAGAGTAATATTTTATCCTTTATTGAGGGACACAGGATTCGTAGTCATTTGGGTCATACTACAACCTACAGGAGCATTTAAACACCATTGGCAACAATCAGTGGCCAGCCCACAATCCCTCCCACTCCCAGGACTCCTCAGCTTTTTGCTAGTTTGCAGAGTGGATCGGCACGTGTTCTCTATTGAGAAAATGTTAACTGTTGCATTTGTTTTTCAATCAAGTCTTTGCATGCTTCTTGAGCTGATCTCTTATAGAGCTATACAGATCACCATGTCCTTACCAACGGCTCTGGAGGATATAACCAGACCTTGCTGGATGATTGCAGACGTGTCTGTAATGTGACCTTCGGACACTGGGCTCTGCTTGTAGCGCACAGACCTCTGTGTACTGTTACCGTCAGAGCGCTTTGTACAGCCTCTGGTATGACCCGGTCTCTGAAGTCTTGTTTAATGAGTAGGCCGCGTCGGCCCGGCATTGGGAGCTGCTTTGTATATTAGAACCATCGGGCACCAATATTATCCCTTTTTTCTGTCGGTTTCCATAGACGGGTTAAAATGATGAGGAATGGAGTGCTGCATGACTAGCTGGAGTGTTGCATGTGTACACACTCCATGCTCCCTCCCTGCCATTCAGCAGGAGATAGCACCTGCTCATTCTGGCCATTTGAACTTTCTACTAGCAGCCGATTAATAAGTGCTGAAGGTTTTATCTTGTATTAGAGCGAAGTTCTTATTTGAGGTGCAAAATGTTGGATGCCAAAAACAAAAGGAGCAGTCTCGCTCTATTGGGTCCCTCCAACATTATTCGGGGTGGTCTGCAGTTTTCCCTCTCAAAGGAACTGATGCCAGAAGCCTGGAGCGCTCTTCCTTTAGTCTTTCCATTCCTTGGTAACCTCCCCTAGCGCTTTCAGGTATGGCCCCTCCAAGGTTTTAATCCGGGAGGATTTTAGCGCAGTTCATGCAGGATATTATGGGCCAGATTACAATTTTAACCTGACTTAAGGATTCCGTTGGCTGCAGTACCAACATCCATTTGGTGATATTTAGGAATCAATCGCTATCCCTGGACACCTCAATCGTGCATTCAGGGGTAGTGATTGTTCTCTGACAGTATGTAATCATATCACATACCATTCTATGCGGTTTGCCGGCGTTTACGTGCGGCCGTTGTCACCTGATCATTTACTGGAACAGGGAACAGCTTCCTCTTGTAAACGGCAGATTAGGGATTCCTGCTGCAGGAAAACACAAGTTCCTGACGCAGGAACCCCTAATCGTACATAAACTTAAAAGTGTAAATGGGGCCTAATACAACCCACACACGCTAATACACAACAATACACGTTCTGGCGTGGGGGGGTTGGGGTTAGACTATAGCTTTAACCGTGTTTTGTACCGTGTGTGGTTCAGGGGGAGAAGGACTGGCAGAAATACGAGACCGCTCGCCGCCTGAAAGATGTGGTAGGTCACATCCGAACCCAATACCGAGCGGATTGGAAGTCCCGTGAGATGAAGAAGAGACAGATAGCCGTGGCACTGTATTTCATCGATAAGGTACGGAGGAAGCCATTGGAGGTGTTGGTCCTCCATTCTATTCACCTGCAAAACAATTAATTGTACCATTCAACTTTTTTTTTTTACCCAATTCAGAAACATTTTAGATGGAAGTTGTGATGTTTATAAAAAAGCCAGAAATGCAGCAAAGTCATAACAAAGGCAATTTACACCTTCAGTTCCAACATAATGAAAGTAAATTCTGTGTAATATAAGTGGAACAATTGCCTAGCTTTCTACATAGCTATAACCTGACATGTCATGGACTGTATGTCATGTGACGGCAGCAGCGGGCCCCTGTAACAATGGCCGCCGGGAGTCTGTTTACCTGTGTAAAGCCAACTGTCTGCTTTACGCTTGAAGCTTTTCTGGTGGCTGTAAAGGATATTTTATGCCAGGGCTTCCCAAACATGTAATGACTTGAAAGTAGTATTATGGTCTGGGCGTTTTTTACCTTAATGCATTCTCTGCATTAGGGTAAAAACGGCCCAGCACCTTTATTCTCCCCACATCCCCCACACTTACCTGTTGGCGACGCTCATCCCCGGTGCCGAAGCGATCCTCCGTTCCCCGAACTTCCGGGTTGCGGGGGGAGGATACTAATGGCAGAGGAGCCATAGGCTCCTTCTGCCATCAATCAAAGTGAGAAGGGGCGTGGCCCTGCCAAAGGGCTGTGTGTGTCTATGGACGTGCACAGCCACTGCGTCGAGGAATTAACAACTTTTAAAGAAAAACAGCAACAACCTCCAGCAAAGGCGGGTCTCCTTGTAGGACACATTTTTTTAAAAAAAGGCTTTAATATCACTTTAATTGCTGTCATGTGATCACTTGCCTGTCCAATCGGCTCCTGATCCCTGCTCTGTGACCAGGAGCTGTCGGGGACCAAGCAGTAGTGCAGAGGGCATGCAATTAAGTGAACCCCACACAAAACAGCGATGTGCAGAATAAGGCCCACCTCCATGCTGCCACATATATGCATACGACCGGCGGGAAGGGGTTAAAAACCTGGCAGGGTCCCTTTAATCTCAGAGCACACATTGCAGGTGATCAGTTACAGGGCTGAGTACATGAGATCCGATTCTGTGTTTTCTTGTTGGCAGCTGGCCCTCCGAGCGGGCAATGAGAAGGAGGAAGGCGAGACGGCGGACACCGTGGGCTGCTGCTCTTTGCGGGTGGAGCACATTCAGCTCTTCCCTGAGCTCGATGGTCAGAAGCATGTGGTGGAATTCGACTTCCTGGGGAAAGACTCCATCAGATACTACAACAAGGTGCCTGTGGAGAAGGAGGTGAGGACCAGTCCCGTATCTGAGGACACTCTCTGCATTCACAGGTCTGTTTTATGAGACACTAGATTGGTTATTTGTACCTTTTGGCGAATACTCCTTCCTCGCCGCCGGTGGTGGTGGTATACTATTTGTACCCCGTGCTGCTGAATTTGCTCTGAATTTTGCAAGCACTCATTGGTCGGTGGAGTCACCCGACTGCACTGACCAATGAGTGCTCGCCATTTGCAAGCGAGATTTAAAATCCAGAGCGCTGGGCTGCTCTGGACAGCCGTATGTTGTACGGATAGTACACCCCTACCGGTGGAGGGGGGGGGAAGTAAGTATAGCGAGAGGGGGCCAGATTGGAGGGGTTAATACCATTTGCCCCAATTCACCTGGGAAAGTAGAATTACCCTTTTTAAATGAGGCAAAACTTTTTTTTCCTCTTTTATCTGTCAGTGATTAGGTAAAGGCGGGAGGGGGAGGGGATTAATAATTGCCTAGAGATGGGCTTTAAAGGTCCCGCTAGCACGGAAAAATACCAATTTATCTCCCAGAAATCCAGTACTTCCTGTGTGAGATTACAAACCCCTCTAATGCACTGAAATCCCACGCAGTGTTGTCACCTCTACTCATTTCTCCTCTGATAGACAGACAACAGAAAACCTCGACCTCTACTCGCCTCTATAACAGAGGGAAGGTTTTCTGTAGTTCATCAGGAGATTGCTGGGCAGAGTTGGCAACACAGCTTGAGATTCCAGCGCAGCGGAAAAGCAAGCGACATCCAAGTCACGTCTCTGTCTCTGTTTCAGGTGTTTAAGAATCTAAAACGGTTCATGGAGAACAAGGATCCAGAAGATGATCTGTTTGACCGGCTGAATGTGAGTCCGTTTTGTTTCTAGGAATGATCATGGTGGGGGGGAGAGCTTGGACTACGGCAGCTTCACAATGGAACAGGAACATTCTGATTTTATTGGTGGGCACTGTCCTCACAGCACCGGAGTCCTGGGTTTAGTCTGCAACAGGACTCGCTTATGTGCACGGAGCCTGTTCTTCCTGAATTTGTGTGAGCGTACCTCTCTGCCCCCGTGCCTGCTGGTAGCTTGCTGAGGCACCGAGCGATGTCGCCACAGTGGATGGGATGTGCCTACTGTCTTGAATAGGCTCTGGTCAAGCAGGCACAGGTTGATATGAAAGCTGAGCTCCAGGATACCCCTGCACTGCAAGAGTTAAATGCGTGCTAAGTCTAGGGGTAGAGGACTTTCCTTACTCATTGCTTTGGCTGTGCGACGTTCACCTGAAGCTGCTTCTCTTCGGCCTTCTAACAGTCCTACATTGTACGTGAGGGCCACAACCCGAAGTGTCAGGGGGAAGAGGCGCAATACGAATGGGAAACGCACATCAATTCATAACCAACTTTACAGCCAGGTTCACGTGAAGGGCTTTACACCGTACAAGAGCAAACATTTCTCCGTACACTCGCCAGCCTGCAAACAAAAACTAATTACACTTTCTAACTATTAAAGGAGAACTATGAGGGGGGAGGGGGGGGTGCTTTTCACTCGCCTCATAGTTCTAGCCGACCTGTGACAATGAGACTGTCACAGGTCGGCTCAGTAGATCGGGAGGTGAGCGAACACATACCGGGGGTCGCTCACCTCTCGATCCTGTCACGGCTCTCTGCCGTGACAGGGGGAGGGGCTGGATTCCCCTCTCCCCACTCCGATCCGCCAGCGCTGACTGGCGGAACGGGAGGGGGCGGGTACGGCTGGCTCTGCCTCTAGGTAGGCAGAGCCCGCTGTCACGCAGCTGGGCGGATCACGGCACAATTGTTGGGATCCGCTTCAGCTGCGGCGTCTCGGTATACCGCGAGCTACAGCTCTCTATATACTGAGCCTAGGGTGTCCTCCCGTTACCCTAAGGAGAACTATGGGGAAAAGCCTGAACCCCATAGTTCTCCTTTAAGGTTAAAAACAGACATTTTAGTTGCACCTCTTTTGCAAAATGTGTGTTGAAGCCGCACTGCCTCGTCTGGGCCCCTCTGTATAGTGCGCTCCTAACTCTAATCTATGAGAGCCGCCATTCTTGGAGCATATACAGTAGGAATGCACCGATACCATTTTTTCGGTATCGAGGAAGAGTACCGATTTTTTTTTTTTTCCCGCTACTCCCCGAGTACCGATGCCTTGTGCCCCAATTATCAGGAAGTCAGACGGCAGATTACGACCCGGCGTACAGCTTCCTGATTGCCTGTGAAGCCGGTGTTCTAGGGAAAGAACACCGGCTTCAGAGGCTTGCCTGGCTTCCTGACCAATCAGGAAGCCGGGCAGCGAGTCATGAGGTGCCGTTGGGCTTCCCGATTAGTCAGGAAGCCAGGCTGGCTACCAACAAGTAAAGCCGGCTTCCTAGCCAGTCAGGAAGACAGGTGGCATGTCATGACCCCCCTCCCAGCTTCCTGATTGGCCAGGAAGCCGGCTTCACTTCTAGGCAGCGTGGCTTGCTGACCAATCAGGAAGTGGGGACGCGAGTCATGAAGTGCCAATCAAGAAGCCAGGAGGTGGGTCATGACGTGCTGCCCAGCTTCCTGATTGGCTACGCAGTGTGGCTGTGTGACTTGTTTCTAGGCAGTGTGGCTTCCTGACCAACGTGCCGCCCGGCTTCCTGGGGCCATGCTGCCTACCAACAAGTGAAGCTGGCTTCCTAGCCAATCGGGAAGCTGAGCGTCATGACCCGGCTTCCTGATTGGCTAGGAAGCCGACTTTAATTGTTCCTAGGCAACCTGGCTTCATGACCAATCAGGGAGGTGGGTCATTATGTGCCGCCTGGCTTCCTGATTGGTTAGGAAGCCAGACTGCATGGCAAGACCTCAAAAGCCAGCTTCGCAACCAATCAGGGAGGAGGGTCATAACCCACCACCGGGTTTCCTGATTAGAAAGGATGCCGGCTCCCTCGGCACTGCCAGAGGGAGATCTCCTTCTCACCGTAAGTTCCGGTGTCGGGAGCATTTGGGTGAGTACTAGTATCGGTGCATGCCTAATATACAGTGTGGCAAAGGATGAATTTGGTGCGGGTTCACCAGGAGGTAGTGGCATCGCTTCTCGGCCTTTTGGCTACGATCAAGTGTAGTATCTGTTCTTATCAGTTGTTGGAGGGGAGAGGATGTTGCCACCCGATGGGAGAACATTCTAGTACCCTCTGACGTAATGGTGGGTGTCGGAGGACGGTTCGGTGCACTGCTAGTTGCGTCAGGCCCTGATGATCGGGTAGACCCCAGACAGTTGGAGGACCCCCGACGGCACTACCTCCTGATGTGAGCGGAGAACCACAGGGTCTGGCCCGAGGGTTCGGGGGGCGGCAGAAGCCCGTGGTGTTGTGCCCCCTGGGGGTGGCGTCCCAGGGGTGCTCAGAAAGTCACATGGGTATGGGACCCCACCTGACTCACTGATGCCCTTGGTCACACACCACATTGCAATTTTCTGCACTTCGCCTCTGTCCCCCCGGGACTCACCAAGCATTTAACTCTTGTAGTGCTGGGGGAAGATATCACTGGAAGGGGGTTTTATTGGAGATTAGCTGTAACTAATGTCATTATGTTCCGGCCTCTTATCTTACCTACTTTGCAGCATCCAAACTTCTGTCTACTGCAGTCCAAGTAAAAGTCTTATAACTGAACCTTCATTTCCCATCCAGACCAGCACACTGAACAAACATCTCCAGGATCTGATGGATGGACTGACTGCCAAGGTCTTCAGAACTTATAACGCCTCCATTACCCTGCAGAACCAGCTGAAAGAACTGACTAACGGTGAGTGGGCCTCCTCTAGGGAGGTCGGGCTGATGGCAGTCTGATGCAGTAATTCTGCTTTACATGTATGACAACCTTTTAAGGGGGATTTGACATTTCCTACACTTACTGTGTCATCATTGGCCACATTCCTAGCTGCTTCTTTCTGACGGATAAGAGGAGGAGCCGTGGAGTCCATTTCAGGACTTCCTATATAATTCCTGGACTTCTGTAGACATCTAATCTCTCTTCTCGACCCAGAAAGGCCGATTCCTTCTGCCACCCACCCAATAGAACTACTGAAACAAAAGCAAACTACATTGAGGACACCTAGAAGTACCAGACCGTTCCTATTAGACCTCAGGGCTTCGGGTCTCACCCTACTCCGATATGCACACTTTACTTTCCTTGCAGAGTTCTATGCTGGCTGCACTTCCATATTACACCAGCAGGGGGTTCTGTAATGCCATTGCGCAATGACGTAACTAAGGAAGCAGAACTTTAGCAGCCATTTGTATTCTGTAACCCTCCATCAGACGGGTGGAGAACCAGAATTGTGACTTCAGGGAGGAATAGGCGAATATGCGCATAGATGATCCTTGCAGGTAGGAGAGTCGGGGTGGACGTGTGTGTGTGTGTGTGAGGTGTACAACAGCCTCTCCGCTCCTCCCCAATCTGACATTTCATTCATTCACTAAGGAGCGAGCATTGTGCAGTGAGGGAGAGGGCTAGAACCAAGTCTAATATATGAGCTGACCGCCAGCCTTCCATTCAGTCTTCTATCTGACCTCCGGCCTTCCCTTCAGTCTTCTATCTGACCTCCGGCCTTCCCTTCAGTCTTCTATCTGCTCTCCCGCCTCCCCTTCAGACTTATATGTGACCTCCGTCCTTCCCTTCAGGCTTCTATCTGACCTCCGTCCTTCCCTTCAGGCTTCTATCTGACCTCCGTCCTCCCCTTCAGGCTTCTATCTGACCTCCGTCCTCCCCTTCAGACTTATATGTGACCTCCGTACTCCCCTTCAGTCGTGCACAGTTGCACCGGTTCCTCCCCTGGACTGAAATGGCTTCCTCTGATTTCAGTGCACTCTTCTCTATATAATATATTGGTCCTTGCTTATAATGTTGTAGCTCAGCCTGTGGGCCTTAGTTTGGTCCTGGGTCCCTTAAAAATGTCCTCGGCCAAAAAGGGGTCAAGAGTGGAGAAAGTTTAAGAAGGCCTGCTCTAGGCGGTGCAGCAAGCGGACAGTCTGTGTTTCCTAGAACAGAAGTTCGTCTTTTATACTCTTCGTCTTGTCAGAAAATGAATGTAAATGTGACTTTGTAATACGTTTGTTCTCCAGAGCTAGTTTATAATCCTGCTTTCTTGTGTTATGTTTCACATATCTCGTCCAATTTGTGAACAGAGGAGGACAACGTACCAGCCAAAATCTTGTCCTACAACCGCGCCAACCGGGCTGTGGCTCTTCTCTGCAACCACCAGAGGGCGCCACCCAAGACCTTCGAGAAATCCATGCAAAATCTGCAGGCCAAGGTATTGCCGCCGTGTGTTTGCTGTGCATGTTACACGTTTCTTTTTCTTCCTGTGTTGCCGGGATCTGTGTATGGGTTGCAATTCATACTCATCCCTCTTATATTAAACCCTCC